TGGCGTTTGTTTGGACCTGTGTCGATGTTAGAAGTTTTAGTTATTTTTGTATTTGTCCCTGTGATTCAGATGTCAGTGTCAGATCCCATCTATGATTCAAACACCTCCCTGTGTTTGTTACCTGGTGACTCTGACTCCTCAGATGTCAGTCAGTCGCTGCCATGGGAAACGCCCACCCCAGATGCTTGAAGCTGAGCTGCTGCTTCCACTAATATGTGCAAAAATCATTTTATTCCATTATAGTTTATATTTATATGCATCTGCACAGGATGAAGGTTTCTGAATCTGCCTCTGCACAAAGAGATGAAGAGGAAAGAGAGAAAGCAATAAACACTCAGACTAATTCAGCTGTTTGAATAAAGTTATGAAGAGTGTTTCCTGGCCTGTGCAGAAGCAGAAGCTGGGCCCAGAGTATGACTTTACTGCATGCTACAGAAAATAATGCGCAGTCCATGACTTGTTCTCCAGCCTGCTTCTTATATAATTGTAATCACTGTGGCGAAATTCAGATGCCAGTGCTGCTGACACTTATCTGCCAGAGCGTCAGCGTTTGAATCTTAATTTTTAAATGTTATTTTTAGGCTTCAAAAGATTTGCACGTAAGCACTGGGAGGGGGAAAAAAAAAAAAAAAAACGTCTTCCTGGCATATTTTACATCTCTGCGTCAGTGTAAGTGTCCACGACGTCAGGACCACTTTCTCCTTGATCTCATCGTTGGAAGTGAAGATTTCAAGTTGTGGACAGATGTAACACCTAAAGGGGGGTGAAAACACAAAAGGCCGGGCTGGGGCTGAAATCAGCTGCAGGCGTGAAGCCCACGTTGCCGGCTTGCTGTCTGTCCTGTCTGTGTCTCTGGGCTTCAGTAGATTGTTTGAAGCAGACTAAGCTGCATGGCGACAGAGGCTTTTTGAGTGCCAGGTTCCCATTCACACTGATCACACATTAGACTGATCAAATCAGACTCCTGGCCTGCTTCCTGACTAACTCAATTTGCTCTCATACGCTTCCCTTTTCACGCTGAGCACACGCACGCACACACACACACACACACACACACACGGGCCGGGATGCACGCGTAAAACGTGTGCACACTAACAGAAAACCAGCAGAGAGTGCGGGGCAGTACCCATTGAGCTCTAATGAAAAGCAGAAAAAGCCGTTACCTTGGCAACTGCCAGCATACATCTTCAGGAGGACCCAGATTTCCTGTCTGACTGCGGTCGTATTGTTTTGGTTGTCTTTTGATAACCGCGGCATCCCTAGACGGATTATCTCACCGCTGGCAAGAATTTATGCTAAATCATCGCGATTTTAAACAGCAGCCATTTGTGAGACAGGAAGCCGCCACGCTGAAAATCTCCAGGCGTGGATTTAACACCTCCACCTCCACCTCCACCCAAACTCACATGTAATCAGTGATCTGAGTGATTTTATCTTGGCCTTGAGCCAGTTCCTCCTCTACGCATTTGAGCTGTGGAGCCTCTCCGTGGGGAGAACACTGCCGCTAAAAGCAGAGGATGATGGGAATTAAACTGTCAGTGTGATTTATCCAAATTACCCTCCAACATACAAAGAGGTGTAGTCGCTGCGGTTTGAATGAACATGTTTATTATGACAGAACATCCACAGAAAAAGCTTTTTTTTTCTTTTACCAGTTCAACCTGAAATAAAATGGAGACAGATCTGCCTTCAAAACAACAAAACCACTTTTTTTTTTTTTTTGTTTTTGAAGGATGACATCATTTACTACAAAAACAAATACTGGAGGATTGAACCTGTGCAGTGCAGTATAACACACACATGAAGTCATAGGTGTCTGGAATATATTTGATTTCACAAAGGGTTCGGGTCCATGTTGTTCTCGTCATAATCATTCTCATCACCATCATAATCAGATTATTCTAATTATTATAATTGCCGGTGCAGTGTTATCTTTGTATGCTGGTCTAAACAGGAAATAAACCAGAGCCCTGTTCGATTTCTCAGCGTTTAGATGTACGAGGGAGGGTGGAGGAGGGGGCAGAAGATTTACCTTCTTCAGCCGGGTGGAGGTGCTGGGTGTAATTTAACCAAACATCCATGACACAGGGGACAGTTAACGACCCCATCTTTGAGCTATGGACGTTCCCCTGTGGTTAAAAAACACAGGGGATAATTAACTGCGGGTGCAGTGTGTGTTCTCTATTGCGGTGATGTTTCTGTGGGCGGCTGTGATTGCACTTGCTAAATGCTAACAGGACAAACAGGAAACAAAACTTCCGAGGGAAAGTTTAACTCGATTCTGTTGCAAACTGCAAAATTAAATCTCTCATATTATTAGTTTAAAGGCCAAATTATCTTCTAATGATGAGCAGTGGCGTCCTACACGTGCACTTTGTGTTTTTTGTCCATACTTTGCTCACTCTGAAGTGGGCGGGTCTCAGTTGGGAAAAAATATGATGTCACATATTTCACTGCACCAATCAGGCTTATGTGTCTTAATGTTACCCACAATGCAACACAACAACAACAGCCACCAGTTTGGTTGAAGAGTGTGTTGTCGTACTCCCCGACACCTGTGATGTGTTAAAGTGGCGGAGTTCCCCTTTAAATCTGATCCTGTTGCTTCTGTAAGTGTAAAACTGTTAATGCTGAACATTTTATTATTCTCCTACATGGTAATTACCTGATTGCTGCTAATGGTTTGTTTTAGTCTGTGATTCATGACTTGGAAATGGCTGTTGTGCCTCTTTTGCCTGAGTGCATCACATAGTCAAACGACTCTCTCAACAACCTTTCATCACTTAAGCAGTGGCACATTTCTTCTTTGATTTCATGGGCAGATCTTTTCCTTGCACCTGTGACTGACAGTAGGCGACACGCCGCGCTGCCATCACGTTACAGGAGACAACGGCCTCTGATGGAGCCACAGTGACGAAAGCGGCGCAAGTTGCTGATGGTGACAATAGAGTAACCTTGTGTGGGTTGTACATGATGAGGCAGCGTGCACATGACTTGCCTCTGGTTGGAGACACAGGTCGACGTGTTCACTTCCCTCCGTGGGTGAAAACCCTGAAAACTCCTCAAGATAACCTTGCTAACCTGAAACAGAACATGTGACATGTAGGACATGATGTGACTGGGACATGGAGCAGCTGTTATCTTGGTGTAATTAATGGTTGGAAATGGTGATTCTCTTGTTAGCATAGCAAGAAACAAGAGCAGCTGTAAATGAAGGATTAATTAATCCATAAAGCTGTTGACAGACATTTAATCAATATTTTGGTTTGTGGCAAAAAAAAAACCTTTAAAACAATTGATATAATTCCCATAATCCTCAGCATTATATCCTCTAAACATCACCATGTTAGCATCATCAACGTGAGCATGTTAGCACGCTTATGTTAGCATTTAGCTCATAGCGCTGCTTGCTATATAGTTGAGTCATTTTTTTTAGCCATGCTGAACCAAACTGAGGGGATTCTTATCACACATGTTGTGTGTTTATGTCAAAATATGTTATAATATTGACTAGGAGGTTGCAAATATTGATATTGGTATTGGTTCAAATAATCAATCGTTAGTTGTTTTTAGGCAACACAGTGAACTAAATACTCATGTGTCCTGCTGCACATGAAGCGTTTGTTTTCACTTTTCTGATCTAAAGTTGTTGATGTTTTCATTCCCTCGTGGTTCTTTTTATGCCTTAAAACTGCTTCTAAACTCACACTGAACCAATTACACGCCGGCCAGCCCGTGTAGCAGAAGTCACATGAACTCAGCAGAAGTTGTGTCGACCTCTCCTCTCACCGGGTCGGAGATTTTGGCAGCAGGAGAGGGTTCTAAACAAATCCTATTACACTCTCTCTATATGATGGATTGTCTGTGCTCTTTGCTGTAATTTCCCTTCTCTGGTGCTAATCCCAGTAAAAAGCACATGAAGAAATAGCTAAAAATGAGAATAAATCCAGACTGTGGTTTGCCCTTGGTTCATTTTGTTTTGCTAAGCTTTCCAAGCCTCAGGCTTTGGCTATTACATGTCACCATCTGTCTCCTTATGCACATGAGTCTGTGCATTTTGTGTTACACCCTGCCTCTCAGTGAAATGCAGCAAATCTAACTCGGAGGAGGACAGAGACTTGAATTTGGTGAGGTTATTCCGTTTTGATTGACACCGTTGTCAAACAAACCAAACTAAATGAGAAAATGCCTTTAGTAGTTTTGACAAACCTCTCCACAGTTGAATCGTGTAGAGCTGAAACAATTAGTAAATGAAAAGAGTCACTGATTGACAGAATATTAATGAACCATTTAAATCCCCTGTTAAGCAAAAACTTCCTTAAAAGCTTGTTAAATGTGAATATTTGGTGCTTTTCTTTGTCTTATATGATGGTAAATGAAATATATTTTGCCTTTGGGCTGTTAGTCAGACAAAACACACAGTTTGAAGACATCGCTTTGGCCTGCAGTGAATGGTGATGGACATTTTTCACAATGTCTGACATCTCATAAGCCAATTGATCGAGGAAATGTTGGGCGGTAACTCTGTAATTATTTATTATTGTCAAAGTTATTGTAAAAAATTCAGTGTCCTCTACCTGCTGCGGCAGCCTCTCATTATTCATGTCCCATAAATAAGCAAATCCTCACACTGTATTTGGGATGCCTTCCTCTGTGTGAGCTAACCCTCTGCAGTGAGATTGATCCAACAGACCAGTGGCCCTGCTAGCAGCCTAGCCTTGGCTAATATCTCCTGAGCTTTCATTAATGCATCAAGTGCTGGGTATCTGTGTGAGAAAAGAGTTTGTATCTGATGCTCAGCGGTTTAAATATACAAGTAATTACTTTCCAGGAGACGGAGTTGGGGTGATAAATAACTACCAAGCAGATGTTTTGTTTCTTGTACAGAGAGCAAATGTGCCGCGCTATTAACAGAGGGAGAGCCAAATAACTTTCAAACCTCAACTCATCACGGAGCAGAATATATTTATGTCGTCTTCTCTTCTCTTCCTCCCCCTCAGACGGCCTATAAGCCCTGGCTGTGTGCGCAGTATTTCCCCACGTTCCAGCAGTCCTGTCAGAGGAAGGTACCGTGCCACCAGTACTGCCTGGAGGTCCAGCAGAGCTGTCCGTTCATCCTGCCCGATAACGACGACCTGATCCACGGCGGCAGCCCCAGCTTCATCTGCACAGGTTAATACCGCCTCGCTGGCCAGTGTTTACTTCCTGTTTACAGCAGCAGTGTGTTTGCATGTGTGGGTGTTTGTGTGGCCTTTTCATTCTCTTCAGAGAAAACCCTCTAATTTAATTAATGTTAATGAACAGCATTTTTATAAAAGGGTGCACAGTATTAATTCATCCAGAATGTGTGTCTCCATATTGCCTGGATGGTATTCCTCCAGGAAAACAACAGAGGCCTTTCCAAAGGCTTTCTGATGACATCTAGTGGCGAGTCTGAGCACAGCCGCGCTCACACAAGGACATTTTAACAGTGCATTGATGAATTGAATTTGGCCTGTCCCTCAATATTTACTGCAGTTTATATTGTAGTAATCACCAAGGACTCTGCCTCAGAGGACCAGACGCTGGCTGGATGCCAACACACAAGTTATCTGGAGGAGATGAGCAACATAACAACATCAGCTGAAAAGGCCCACACAGGTGTTTTCAGCTCCGGTTGAAGCTGAGTGGACCTGTGCTGGGAATTACATCTGGACTTAATGAGCTTAGGGACTGGAGGAAAATGAGTGGTTGTCAGAGAACGGTAATGTCAACAATGTTCAGGGACTTTTTTATTTTTTTACAATTTATACAGGTGCGAGAAAAAGTGTGTGAACCCTCCTTTGGAAGGACCTTGTTTTTCGACATTGATTTTTTATCGAAGTCATAAACGTAGACAGACACAGTGTCCCTAAGCTAATATCATACAAACAATTATAATATTTTGTGTCTTTATTGAACGCAGCCTTTAAACAGTCACGGTGCTGATGGAACTCTTAATAACCGATTGAATCTCCGTCGGCGCCAATAACCTCAAACCAGCTCCTCCAGCAGCTGCTCGATGTTCAGGGCGAGTTTTGGACTGAACTGTTTCAGCTCTAATGGATTAAGACCTGGGCTCTGACTGGGGTCGCTCCAGAAGGTGAATTTTCTCAGTTTGAAGTCAGTTTACTTTGATGTTTGGGGTCATTGTCCTGCTGCATCGCTCAGCTTCTCCTGAGCGTCAGCAGCCGGACAGACACCCTGACGTTATCCTGGAAGAGACCCGGATAAACATTTTCCTCTTCGGTGATGTGGAGCTGTCCAGGCGCCTCCACCCTGCCTTCACCTTTTCATGTTGTTCCCTTTTCTACGCCACACGTAGAGCGGCGTGTTCTTCCAAACTGTTCAACCTCAGTTTCATCAGTCCATGAAACATTTCCTCAGTCGTGTTGTGGAGAGACAAGCGGCTCTTTGACGAACTTCAGGCGTCCACTTCACTTTTTGCTAAAACCATCAGCCTGTGTTATTAGTTAAAACTGATTGTTTTTGTTAAGAATTGTAATTTAGATGAAGCTCTGATCATATTTGGAGACTAATTTACACATAAACGGTTCGCCTTCTTTTTCTTGCCGCCGTATTTCAGCCTCCCCTCGTAAAATGAATCACAAAAGAAAAATGAAATAATTACAGATGAGGGGTTAATGTGCACAGTGGGTCATAAAAGTTTAATTTATTATACGCAGAGGACGGCAATTCTGTCACTCTTATGGGGATTCATTATTCACATCACAGTCAACTTGCTGATAGGAACAAAGAAAAACATTGGGCAATTTTTCTTTTTAATTAATTTTTTTTTTTACAGTTTTTATCTCACCCTTAAAAGTGCATCAGAACCAACAAGTAGGGTCGGGGAGATGTGAGTCCAGCGGAGTCTGTGCTGAGAGGAGGTATCAGGTAAAACACCTGGTGAACTGTGGTTGCGGTGGAGACGGTTAACGGCCTTAAAATAAAGAGTTGTGGTTGTTATTTCTTTTAAGTTTTTGTTCCAGATCTCAGTTTTTACCCAGCAGCCTGTCATCCGACTCCTTGCGCCTCCGTTCAGTGAGAGCTGTGTGAGCTCCGTGTAGTTTTCCCTGTGCAGATAAGTGCGGTGACAGCTCCCTTTTTCATGCCGCCAACTTGAGACTTCCAGAGTCATCGACTGATGCAGCGATGCGTCACCCCCCCTGCGTGGTTGTGGTCTTAAATCTGAGTTCAGCGGAGGGTCACCGTGTCTGGTCCTCCGCGTCACGACTAGAGCCGAGCACGCTGACGGTCTCACTGTGCTGCGATTAAACTGATGTTTTTTAACTGAACTTGAACTGGTTTTTCAGGCTTCATTCAGACGCTTTGCTTCCATCTAATCCTGAGGTTTCTCCTGTAGAGTGGCGGCATCAGATTACACCTGCACTGTAGCAGATTGGTTTATTTATCAGGCTGAACTAAAGAAGCAGCTTTAATGCCGTTATTTAACCTTTATGTCACTTTTGTGTCGCTGTAACGAAGTAACTTCTTTTGTCATGTATTTAATTTGCTGCATTAGTCAAAATCAATAAACAATTTCTCAATTCATCCCCCAGATAATTAACAATACAAACATCAGTCTACAATTAAATATAGTGCCATAGAGGCTGAATCTTTAATTCTGTCCCTGGAGAACCTTAATGTCTCGTGACCTGAAGGCTGACAACCATCAGGAAACCACATCACCGAGACTCTTCATATGAATATTTGTACTGTAAAAGTCAGCATGGTCAACCGCTGTCATCTGTTTCTGTTTCTCAGGGCTCTTGGGGGATCATCCATCAGACAGTGAGGCGGAGTGCTGCGACGTCCGATGGGACTCCAAAATGGACAACCCTTCAGGCGGGACAATAAAAAGGACTGCTTCTTCCTGCCAGCCCGAGGGGGCCTCGGTCACCTCCGCCGCTACCCCGAGACTGTGCAGCGGGCGACTGAAGATCTGCCTGCTGGCCCTCGTCCTCCTACACACTGTCATCATCATTTCAGCCTCCCATAATTCTACGTTGGTGGGCATGGCTGCCATTTTCTCACCAGAGGAGAGTGCTTCTAATGAGGAGTGAACCTTGGGGTTGAATCAAGGCTGGAGCTTGTAAAGAGTGATGTCGCTCGAGAGCATTATGGCTTTTACAATGTCATGGCTGCCAGGGACACGTCTGGCGAGACATGCTGGGAAATGCCTCTACAATCTGCCGCAGATGAACCATCAACCACAGGAAGTGGGAGGGTTTTAACTGGAGCTAAGGGTGCTGGGATTGGACATCGACGAACCGAGATGTTTGAGAACCGCCCCCCTAAAGAACTGACCTCTTGCCACTTGAAACCTGCTCATTGTTTCTATTCCATCCAAATGTTTTCTAGCATATTGTCCCTCCTCTCCTTCCTTCCTTCCTTCCTTCCCTTCCTTCCTTCCCTTCCTTCCCTCCCTCCCTCCCTCCCTCCGTCCGTTTTCAGTGTGTGTGTGTGGATGGCATGTCAGAGGAAAAAATGGACATCGGTGAAGTGTGTGCCCTCGCTCATCATCACCCTCAGATTCTTGCTGCATTATTTTCAGGTGCCAGAATGTTTTGACATATCAACTGTGTTCCACTTCCTCCTCTCCATCACCTCCGAGGCGTCTCCTCAGCCGCCGTGTGTGTGATGCTGCTCGAGGACCAGCTCATCCATCCTCCATGTGGGTCTCTGAAAAACAAAAAAATGTTTGTGATTCTTCTATATTCTGATGTTCAGCTTGTATTTCGTCCCACTAGATCTTTTTTCTCGACCTCTTAAACGACGGTACATGCCTACACGTTTTTGGACCTTAAGTGCTCTGAGACTGGCGCGCTCTCTCTTCTAACTTGTTGGGCCATTGAGCAAGTTAGGAGGGATGAAGGTAGCGACGGTTCAGCTCATGATTACAGGGTGTTGCGGGAGTTGATGCCGAGCTTCGTTGCCATCAGTTTACCTCAGACGGTAGCGTCGTCGTTGCAGACAGGCAGCCGGGTGGCTCGTCTGCAGGTAGTGTTTGACTGCAGGGACAACCCAGGGACACCAGAGGACAGCTGCATGAAGTCAAAACACCAGGGGCCTCATTTATCGACCACGTGTAAACCGCTTTCTGCACACACACAATCTGACTCATCGGTTTCTTCTTCAGGTATCACCGAATCTCCAGCGCACACAAACCGCAACTCAGCTTTTAATCGTAGAGAGTCTGTAGCTTCAGTTTTAGCTTGATAACGAGAACATTTTAAATCAAATTTCACAGATATGATTGGATCACACAAAGGGGGGGTGTGGCTTCTCTATCCTTCCACCCTTGAATACAGTGCGATGCAGTCCCCTACACCTCCACCTGCCTCCCCCACGCTGTCAGATCAGAAGCAGGTAATAAAGGTTAAATTAATAAATTAGACCTAAACAGCATTCTTTGGAAATATAAAAGTTTTTTGCCAACACACACACTCTCACTAAGATCTTCCTACTACTAAGTGCAGTTTTATATGATGGGTGGGTTTTACATTTTACAGTAAAGAAAAGAGATGGATTTTGATATGAAAAACTATTTTTCATTTCACAGTGTCTTTAATGTCTCTATTTTGTCTGTATTACTGAGCACCTGTAGCTCCATATAAGAGAGCCAGAGGAATTAAGTTATTACCCGTGAGGTTTCAGCATCATTTATTTTAATTAGATGAACTGAGACGGGTTTATTTTCTGTTGAGCTGAAACTTTTTTCTAAAAGTACGTTTCTAAACTTTGAATTACATTGAAAATGCTGCAGCCAGTTTCCAATGTCAATTTTAAGTATTGTAGTTTAGCAATTTAGAAATAATTTTAATTTTATAATTTTAATTTAGAAAATGCTGCATCATGATCTTTGGCACAATATTGTTCGAACTTGTTCAGACCGTAGGGAGATAGTGACCCTGCAGGAACACGTGTAACACGAGCTTTCCCTCCCATGATGCACCAGAACCTAAATATCTTTTTTATCTTTCTTTACTTTAATCCACAACAACAACTTTCATCGGGATGTGGTTGACCATTTTTCTGCATTCTGGGGGCGTTTCCATCCACCGACAGATTGGTCACTGATCACTGCATGAAGGTGTTATCAAACAACGTTTCGTAAATACCAGTTTTCCTCTTTCGTATTCGACGTGTAGCGCTCGTCCTGTGCTTTGGTTTGATAAATGAGGCCCCGGATCTTTGAGTGCCTCTCTGCTGTAGAAGCCCAGCGAGGCAGATACTGGCAATGGAGCAATATGGAGAAAAAAAAACCAACAACAACAACAACAACAACAAAAAAAAAACAAACAAACAGCCGGTGTTAGTGTCCTACTTTGTGGCCTCTTCACTACTGTCGGCTTGACTTCTCAGTATCGTAGTTGAGCAAGTGACCAAGAACCACCCAATCAATCAATGTGTCGACTCTTAAATCACCCTTAGACAAGCTGATCAACCGCTATCTTTCACAGACTAGCAAAGGGCTGTGTTAGTGTCAGCGTGCGAGGAGTGTGAGGAGTTTTAAAGGGCTGATCCATCTGATTTTGTTTTTGTTTTGTTTTTTTTGTTTCCTTTTTTTGCATGGCTGCTGCTAATAAAGTGCACATTGACATGAGGACAGGTCACGCAGGGATTAAGAAGGGATTAAACTCCCATCTTTAGCTAGAGATTGGACAGAAAAATAGATCTATCCAATACTTAAATCTGATACCATGAGCAACTAGAGATGCACCAAAAACTAAAGCTAAGGACGCCAAATCTTTCTCTTCTTTTTTGTCCTCCATCCTGGTTGCCTCTAATGATCAGTTACAGACAGATTGGAGTTTTGACTTCACCTCCAAATTGTTCTCGGCTGTGAAAAACGTGGTATCAGTGCCTCCTCCCTTCCCCATTAACAGCTTGACCTTACCTCGCCTCACATCACGTAATGACCATTGATTTCACACACACACACACACACAAACACACACACACTCTCATATAGAGTGGGATGTCACATGGAAGTCAAGTCTACGCTCGCCTCTGGATTTTCAAGATGCAGTTCTTATACTTTAACCCCCCCCCCAGTTTACTTTCCGACCCCCTTTCTTTTTGCTTGATTTTCTGGTGTGATGTGTTGTTTCGTTTGTTTGTTTTTCCTTGACGAACTGTGTTGACGAGAACTACTTTCCCCCTTGAAGACAGCAGCGGATGTAACAGGCCCACACTTTGTGCTCCGTCCCCTTCGATCTCTAGCTGTTCACGATCTGAGTCCTGTGGATCTATGCAGAAGAACCCCACCCCAAACTGCCCCACTCACTTTCCCTCTAACCACCACCACCACCGCCACCACCACAACCACCACCACCACCTTCACCACCGCCACCACCACCACAAACTCCTTGTCCTTTCTGTTGTAAATATGTCCTGAGGATGTGGGATCCCCAAAATGGCCACCTCCCCTTCCCCGACCTCCCCTACCTCCCCCCTCTGTTGGAATCTCAGTGTTTTCTGTTCGCCTCCTTGGTTTTTGTCTGTTTTTTGAGATTTTTGCCGCATTTTTCTGTTGTCTAAAGCAGTGGTGTGAGTTGATGAGTAGGACTAAGTTGGATGTTAAAAAGATGAGATAAAGAGGTCTAAAGAAAAATATACAAAAAAATGAAGCTTGAATTGAGAAATGGGTTCAAATATAGAGAAAAAATTATGATAAAGTTGTCATATTGTCATACTAGAGATGCTTTAGTTTGCTAATTTACTTTCTTTTTTTTCTACAAAAGACTTGGATGAAATTATTTATAAAATGCGTCCCACGAGTCATGATCTTTTTTGGACGTAAAACAAATACATTTATTAACATTTTGTTCAAAAGAAAATAAATATAAATTATGTTAAACATTACTGGTGTTTGTATTTTTTTCACTGTCTTTGATATGAATGATGGAACCGCAAAGCGTTCAATATTAAAAAAGATAAAATAACAAGGACAGTACGAAATAAATAATCACATGTGTTGTACACTAATTTTGCTCGTGCTAATAGCAGCTAACAGGCTGAATCCAGCAGTTGTTGAGCTTGCTAAATCAGTTCTGCAGGTATGTGATTGGCTGAAAGGTGAGAGGGCAATCATCATCATCAAATTATCCAATAAAAAGTGGAAGGAAGTAATTGGGAAAAATGGACTTGAAATGGCATTTTGATATAAAAATAAAAGTCTTAAAAAATATAATTATGAAAATACGAATGATCAAATAGTTATTTCATAACAATAATTTCACTTTTAATAATTTATTAAATTATTTAACAAATAATTGTGTCATTTATATATTTTACACAATTTATTCAAGTGATTATTTATTTTAAAAAAATAAGAATTTAATATTGAACGTGATGCATGTGGAGGCATATACACTCCAGCAGAGGGCAGTATAGGATCATATTTCAGAATGCAGACCACTCTGAGCCTGTTAGCTTTCCATCAGGTCAGCTCTACCCGGGGCATTTTCCTTCTTCCATTATGGAGATCTTTCTCACCTTGAGTGTTACATCAAGTGTAAAACATCATTAGAGTCAAACACTAATTTCTCACTTGTGGGCATCATCAGCTTGATGGAGTCTTGCTGATTCTACAGAAAGGCAAAACATCTGGGATAAATCAAAAATAAATAATTAAATATGATCCCATGTTGCTTGCAGACTTTCTTAAATTAATGTTTGTTTTAGTTTGTCGTAATAACTGACAGTGCTTAGTGTTGATTCAGGGTATTTTCAAGCAGCTTGTATTAATGGGGGTGCATTTCATGGCCTTTCAACAGAGCAAGGCTAGCTGCTAAGCTAAGTTAGATGTGAGAGAGGTTGAATGTTATATTTCATTTCTTTCATTTAATATTTTTTCTCTTCCATATATAATTTATTATTCTTTTCTAATTCTAATTTTAGCCCAATTTTCTATCAGATTTGCTTTAGAAATGAAAGAGTTACTGTCTTAAAACCATGAAAGTAGAGTTATTTAATCAGATTTTTTTTGGCTCACTTGTTAGGACTTCATAACAGGTGAATTAACCAATCACATTACAGTGGGCGGGACCAACGATAATTGGATCAGAGCTACCTTCGCATACCGGAAATGTCATTGACTTTTCAATTAGGTGCGCAACTGCCTTCACGCGACCATCCCGCGGTGAAAATTCAACAAAACATAATGACGATACCTCCAATTTGTAGGCAGCAAGTTAAGCAAAAAAAGTATACCCAAAGCCGCCCCAGCCGGAAATTGAAAAA